CCTCAGGCACTTGTTATCTGTGTGACCCAGGCCAAGTCATTTTACCTCCTCTAGCCTCAGGTTACTTATCTATAAGTGGGAATAATAATAGCACCAACCTTAGCAGGGTTGTTGTTAGTTAGTATCAAATGAGATAATACACATAAAGTGCTTTGCAAACCTTATAGCACTAAATAAATACTATTATTAATTACTATGGTTTTCAACACCAGAACTTCCACTCATCCCCCCTCACCCCACACTCCCTTCCCCAAGGTTCTGATTGTTGAGTGCTTCATGCATGGCCCATGATATCAAGCCAACTGTTCCAACTATGTTTTACTTTAACCACGCTGGCATCCTCTCCTCAGCCATCCTATTGTTGCTCCTTCCCAACCTCCCCACTATTCTCTAATTCTAGAACCATAACCAAATCCACACCGCCATTGCTGTTACAAAGGATGCACATGTATACTTCTCTATGGCTCCATGTACCACCCCTACAGCTTTATAAATCAAAATGCCCCTTCCTGGCCTCATGTTGTCTCCTGCATTAGAATGTAAGCTCCTTTAGGGCAGGAACTGTCTCTGTTTTTGTCTTTGTCTCCACAGGAAGAGCTTAATAAGTGTGTTTTTTCTTTCATTCATTTTCTCTCTTTTTAAAATGCATTGCCCTAAGAGATGGATTACTGGGTTTGAAGAAAGATATATAAAAAGTTGATGTGACATAAAAATCAATCAATTGATAAACACCTACTATGTGCCAGGCATTGGGCTACATGTTGATATCAATGGGGATACATATCATTGTGTACATGTTGATATCAATGGTGACACATATCATTGTGCTACATATTGATATCAATGGTGTACATGTTGATATCAATGGGGACACAACTAAAATGGATGAAACAACCCTTCCTACCAAGAAGTTTAAGTTATAATAGGGAAGGCAACAAGGGCATAGGTACATACAGTACCAACACAAATAAATATGAGTTAAGTGTAATGTAGATGAGAGGGCACTAGCTGTTGATGGGAATAGGAATGGTCTAGAAGAAGGTGGTGCTGAATTGCCTCTCAAAGGAAGAGATTCTCTGTATGAGAGGTAAGGAGTGCATTCCTGGCATGAGGGACCCCCAGTGCAAAGGAAGGGTGATGGGAGATGAAGTCTGGGCACTTCAATTAACCTCCTTATGACTCAGGCAACTCTCAAGGACTGCAGATTGCAAAAATAGGTGCTGATTTGCATTAGTAGAAGGTTTCCTCATTGAAGCTGCCCATGCCAATGAAATCACAGGTTGCTTCCCCTCCCCGCTCAAAAAAATACAATGGTTTGGTAGCCTTGGTTCTTTTGCACACCTCTTGCTTCTGTGCTACAATTAATTCTGAGGCTTGATGGACAGCTGTCTGTGTCCAATGGGCCACATGCAGATTCCTCTAATAGACGGAACAAACTCCTTGGTCTGATGTCTCCTAGGTAGGATCAGCTTGGAGATGAGATTACTGGGTCCACTTGGGAGGACCCTCAGATCTCAGCCAAGCTAACATCCTGTATTCTAGGATGAAAGCCAAGGTAGGCTGAGGGGGCGTGTAGAAGGCATGCACCAGGGAGCTGTCCCAATGTCTACCATATGTTTGCTCTCTCATTCCTCTGTGTAGGCAGGAGCACACAGAAAGTCTGAGGCCAAATCATTCCAACCTCTTGGATATGCTTGCCTCATCTAGGCCCAGCTACACTGTCATGGGGACATAAAGCATCTGAAGCTGATGCAAACTCCAGACGAAGACTTGGGGTCACTCTACTTGCATAACATGTGTGGATTACTCATTCTTTTCATTAAAATAAAATACAGACCCGTGGCTTCTACCAGGGATTGGTTTAAATGGCTCCACAACCAGTTTGAACACTGGAAATTCAGAGAGAGTGGCTCTGGGTTGCAAAAGTTGGAGAGGAAAAAAAGTCCTCACCTCTACGCCATTAGTATGAAAATCACTGGTGCCCTCACTTAGATCCCTTCCATTTTGCCCAAAAGGGAAAAGGAAAAATTAGTTTCCATGTGTGTCTCATGTCTCTGTTGAAATGCCAAAAGCCTTTACAAGCCCATCTTGGACTCAAGGCGATGTTGAGATAGCACCTCGGAACAATTATATCATTAAACAAGGCATAACATACTCTGTACTACAATTTTTTTTTTGTTCCAGAAAAAAAAAAAAGCAAAGGGTGCCAGAACTCAGCTCTGCTCCAATAGATGTTAGCCACTGACATGCCAAGGAGGAGGTTCAGGGATCAAGCCTGACAAAAGAATTCCTTGGGGTTTTCGAGGAACACAGTGACACATGATCACTTCAGGATTTTTAAGGCTATTTTTTAAACATCTAACCATTTTTCTGTATATACATCATCAGATTGAAACATGCCTCAGAGTTACACATTCCCTAAGCCCCAAAAGAATGGGTTGGCAAAGGAGTCTTTGGAGCTCAGCAAGTCAGCATGTTGATGTTACATAGACAGGCTCTACTTGGATTAAGATATTGCCAGTGGAGGGAAATCACAGGGTCTAGCCAGATTCTGTCTGCCTCCTTCCCCTCTCCCTACCTCCTCTCCCTCCCCTTCCCCCCCTTAAAAAGATTAACTATAGTTTCCAAACATTTATGCCCCAACAGATATATACATATATATATATATATATATATGTATATATATACTACAATGGGGTATTAAGAGAGACAACATCTTAAAGAAGAGGAATTAGGTATTTTTCTAGTAAAGCAACTGCTGGCAATCATTTCTAAAGTTAATCAGGATTTATTTGATTCTTAAGGCAGAGGATGTGGGTGCCAGATGGTGATTGTGGGAATGAAAGCTCCCAAGTCCAATGAGGCTGATTTCGATGTGTAACAAACGCAACAAACACATGTTATGAGAGTGTTGGCCCATCCTTTACCTGAGGACAATTTAATCATTCCTTTCATGAGAAATGAGGAAAGAGATGTGCTCACTTGAGAATAGCTGAGTTCTAAAGGTATACATTTATGAAATGATTCATTGGGCTCTGATTATGAAATTAAAATAACATTTGGTAAGATGAGCACAGGCCCTTTTAAGAAAATCTTGAAGCATAAGTTTTTGAGTTCAGGGGGACATCAGAGCTCATCTTGTCTAACCAATTCATTTTACAGATGAGGAAACTAGAACTCAAAGAATTAAGTGACTTGCCCAGGGTCACACAGCTAATCAGTACCTGAGGCAGGTTGCAAACCTCAGTTTTCCTGACTCCAGGTTCAGAACCCAATCCACTATGACAAGCGGTCTTGCGTTAGTCAACCTTAGGAAAATTATTTTGGCAGCTGTATGGAGGGATTATTGGTGACAGAAGAGACAATAAGCCAAGAGTTCAATTAGGGATGTGTTGCAGGAGGTGATGATTATTGAAATAGGGTAATGTCCTTGTGAGTAGAGGAAAAATGGGTCTTAGAGATGTTGTAGAGATAGGATCTATAAAATGTGGTGGGTAGTACAGTGGATGGAGTACTGAGCTTGGAGTTAGTTCAGATCTGACCTCAGACACTAGCTATGTAACCCTGGGTAAGTCACTTCACCTCTGTCTGCCTCCACTTGCCCACCTGTAAAAATGGGGATAACAAAAGCACCTTCCTCCCAGATCAGAGGCCACAGGTTCCCTACCCGGGTCCTAGATTATTGTAAGGGTCAACTGACAATAATATTTGGGTTTTTTGTTTGTTTTTTGTTTTTTGGCTAGGCAATGGGGTTAAGTGACTCACCCAAGGTCACACAGCTAGTAAGTATTATGTGTCTGAGGAGGATTTGAACTCTCGTCCCCCTGACTCCAGGGCCAGCGCTTTATCCACTGTGCCACCTAGCTGTCCCTTGAGAATACTATTTGTAAAAGTGTTTCTGCTAACCTTAAAGCACTTTACAAGTGATAGCTATTGTTATTATTATATGGAGATAAAGAAGAAGAAAGATTTAAGGATAGCTATGCCATTATGAACCTGGCTGAATGAATAAAGAATTCTGGAGGAGGGGTGGGCTTAGGAGGGTAGAGAATGAGCTCTGTCTGGGACACAAGAGTTTCAATGATATAGTTAAATTAGAGTGAAAATTAGTTCATTCCCCCCTTCCCCCCAATTCCCTGGGATTGTAGTGAGGATTTTTTAAAACCATCTACCCTACAGGGTTGTTGTGAAGACCAAATGAAGCAATGCATATAAAGTGTTTTTGAAAATCCTAACGTCTCATAGAAACACCAGTTACTGTTAGGGAAGAGGTCAATAGGTGCTGTGTGTGTGACTATTTGAACTAATATACCAGCTTTGACCTCTCCTGGTTGCTGGCTCATTCCCCTCATTAATTCTTTCTCCAGGTTCATAAAGGAAATCTAAAGTATATGTATTTCAGAGATTACTAAAACTCACCGAATCTCTCTCTAATTAGCTTGCTGCCTCCAACCAAGAACTTGAGTTAGGGAAAATCTCCTATCTCACCCTCTAAGCACACACTTAGAGGCTTGGACAAGAAACAATATAAATGGTCTTGTATTTTAGTAGTTTTAAATAGCATAGACATGTAGATAAGTCCTGAAAAGGTACAAAGTTTCTAAGTGTAAGCTATGATGGTTTCAGCCAAGCGATTGGCTTCCTCCCACCTCTTTTCACTGATTGGAGAGGGAGTGGAAAGTGAAGGGTTGGACAGCTTAATGGAGAGTGGATTACCTGGGCAGTGTTCCAGGAAAGGAAGGGAAAGAAAGGTGTTGTGAACTAGACTCTAGTAATCTCACTGATCACCTTTGGATCAACCTGATCTGCTCTCCATTCCAGTGGTACTTGCTGATCCTCTGATCTGGTCAGTTCTACATCTCTGCTCTTGCTCAGATAACCTGCATTGTCCCCCAAGTTTCATGGGGGAGAGGGAAATAGGTTTAGCCATGTTCTCTTCCCTTTCTCTGCCAGTGCCAGTGGAAAAGTGGAGACTTGGTGCAGTCCATCCCCTTCCTTACCTGTGTTAGTCATGTGACATCTTTCCAGGTCAAAAGCTCCAGAAGCCTGGGGACATCTGGGCACACACAGGTCTGCAAAAGCTCCATGGCCACATCCCTGGGGAAAGAGTTCTATATTTTTATTTGTATTTATTATTTTATATTTATTTATAAATATACATTTACAAAAATATTTAATATTTTATTTATTATTTTATTCTATATATTTTATCTTTTAGAGAGAGGAATATGAGTTGCACTAGATGGCCATTGAGTCCCTTCCAACTCTGCAAATCTCTGACTGCGCGATTTTTTAAGAGTATCTGTGCTTCCAGGTGGGTGTGCGGGCACGATTGGGAAGGCGTACCTCTTTTCCCATATGTTACATAAATGCAAGAAGATGACTGGATGTTACATAGGGTGGCCATGGAAAGTTTGAAATAAAGATTATGGAGAACCTGGCTAACGGCAGCTAGGTGGCACAGCAGATAGAGTACTGGGCTTGGAATAAGGAAGATTCATCTTCATGAGTTCAAATCTGGCCTCAGAAACTTACTAGCTAAGTAAGCCTGGGCAAGTCACTTAACCCTTTTTCCCCATCTTTAAAATAAGCTGAAGAAGGAAATGGCAAACCACTCCAGTATCTTTGCTAAGAGAACCCCAAATGAGGTCACTGAGCGTTGGACATAGCTGAACAACAAACCCAGATCCACTTCTGAAAACCTGTGAAGGGAAGAAATCTACGTCTATGATAAATGTATGTGTGTGTGTGTGTGTGTGTGTGTGTGCGCATGAATATCATAATTATTTATGTGTATATCATCTACACATACTATATATGTACATGTATACATATATGTGGGGGTATATAGGTATATGCTTATGTATATATATATATATATGTGTGTATGTATTATATGTGTGAATACAAATATAGTCATTACTTTTTATTTATTCATAAACACACATATGCATTTATATCTACACACACATATGGAAATGTTTCATATGTGTATATGTGCACATATACACAGATACGTGAAATATACTTTTCCCATACTGTATACTTCATAAATACAGATTGCATTATCTACGCATACCATGTTCACATATGTATAAGCATTATGTTTGTATGTATGTATACATGTATTCATATTTGTATACCTATTCATTTATTTATACACAGATACATACATATTTATACATGCAAACACACATGTATATAGAATATATTTCTTATGTGTGTACATGTACATATACATACACATATGGAATATATTTTACCTAAGCTATTCATTTCATATGTACATATATATCTTCTGTATATACCAACATACATATTTTAGGGGTTATATACAGATACAACCACACATATATATATATGTGTGTCCATGTGCATTATATACACAGGGTGTGCTGGTAAATGTTTAACCAGCTCTCGGGGGAGGGGGAAGTATACAAAAAACATAACACACTTTGAAGTTTAATATATGTTATTAACATTTTCCCTATCACTTTCTTAAGTCTAGACAATCAGCAAAAGCATAAATCAAGCCCTGATTTATAGTGTTGGGTGATTTCCAAAGTGTAAATGCTCACACCAAAAATTTAACAACCAGCTCTCATAATCTGGTTTGAGCTGGCTCAAGCATTTCCCTCCATATGGGCATGCACATACATTATATGCATATACATACACATACACATATATACATACATACATACATACATACATACATACATTTTTACATGACAAGACTATCATTGACACATTAATTGCCAATCTGCATTGGTGGAGAGAGGTTCCATGTAAAGAATTTGCTAAACTAATAAAATCCAAGGTTCATCTAAATATATGAACATGTATGTGTATATATTTTCAGTGGGAGCATATGATTGTTAAGGATGAATAGCAGCTCCCCAGGCACAGGTTGTAAGGGATTAGAACCTAAGTGATAGGGCAGTATCTGGAGTCCGGAAGATCTGGATTCAATCCCCACACCAGACACACAGGTATGGGCCGGTGTAAGCCTCCACATATTTCTATCTGTCTGCCTGTCTGTCTGTCTTTCTCTCTCTCTCTGCCTTACGATACTCTCTAAGTTTCACCAGCTATAAAGGGGGACAATAATGGTACCTCCCCTACACAACTGTAGTATGTATCAAATGAGATCATGTGTATAAAGCACTTTATAAATAATGTGCACCATGATCAGCAAACATTGAACTTACCAAAACCAAACAGAGAGAGGTGCCTTCCAAAGGCAACATGAGGTTAACTTATGTAAAATCTTGAAAAGGATGACGGATGACTACGAGCAGTATTGTCTCATAAAACAGAGAGAAGAATTGGCAGGTGAGACCATTCTGCACATCCAATATATGCAAGTAAGCAAAGCCACCAAGAGTATTCAAGGATGAAAACAGAAAGAGAACCACAAACAGAAGAAAAATAGAAAAGATTTGCAAAAACTATTACAACATATTGTTTTCTCCATTAAGGATTGTGAAGCCACCACACCTGGACCCTAATATCCCAGTCCCTGAAGGGCTTGCAGAGGAATCAAAAATGGCACTAAAGAGATTTAATGAACTGGGAAAAGCAACCAGAATGGATCAAGTATATGGGGAGAAGATCCATTCTGGAGGTGCTATAATTCTGAGGGCCTTGATAATCTATTTACAAGGCTTTTAAAGGAGACAGAAATACCAAAGGTGTGGAAAACATCGGGGATTTTACTGATACCAACAAAAGGTGAATAAGGAAACATCAGCAGCTACTGACCCATATACCTACTCTTCCATCTATGGGCATATCTTGCAGATATTGCAGGTTCAATTCCAGACCACCACAATAAAGTAAATATTGCAATAAAGTGAGTCATATGTTTTTTTTTTATTTCTCAGTACATAATAAACCTTATGTTTACACTATATTGTAGTTTATTAAGTGTTTCTTGTGACTGGGGACAAGAGGTATTATTCAGGTTTGGGTATTTCTACAAAAATTTTCTTTTTGAATTCAAAGATCAAAGTTCAGTCTATTTGTGAAGGGAGATTTATAATTTTGTATTTCTTTATGGATTATATTTGTTATTTGGTTACATGTCATAACCTGCTATTAGATTGGAAGTTCCATGAAGGTAGGGATCAGGTCATATTTACATTTTGAATATATCATCCTGGTCCTTCTGTATTCTAAAAAATCAATGATGTTCCTTGAGTGAATGAGTGATAAAAAGTGAAAAAGTCCCTGCCTTCAAGGGGATTACATTCTATAAGGAGAAAAACCATGTACCTAAATGAATATACACAAAATAAATTCAAGGAAATTTCTTTGGAGGAGGCACTGGAAACTAAGAACATGTTTCATGTGGTAGGCAGTGTTTGAGCTAAGCTTCAGAGAAAACTAGAAGCTATAAATGGCAAAGGTGAAGACAGAATGCATCCCAGCCACGGAGGCCAGTCAGCATAAATGCACTGAGGTGGAAGACAACGTGTGCTATGTGCAGAAGAGCAGGAAGGCAGCTTGATCATACACATCACAAAGGGGAAAAGTGCACCTTAATTTACGAACTAAATCTAAGAAAGTTAGGTTGAAGGCTAGTGGTTAAGGACTTGAAATGCCAAACAGAAGAGTCCATGTCTGTTTCTGGAGTTAATAATAGGGAGCCACTAGAACTTAATGAGCAGGGGGTGACGTAATCAGACCTGAACTGGAGAGGAGAGAGTCTCGAGATAGACCAGTTCAAGGGCTGCTGAACTCTAATTGAGAGGGCATGAGGGTGGTGGCCACAGGAGTAGGATAATTAGGGAGAATATGTGGAGTACTTTCTTGGCTCCTGAATGAGGGGAGGGCTCCTTTTTTGTTGTGGAAGGTAACCTTGGAAGGTAACAGGAGAAAAGAATTTAGCATAGTTGGATGCCATATATCAAACTAGAATTGGTAACAGAGACTCCTCCAAAGTTGGAAAGAAAGTGGGTCCTGCTCCCTAGGCAAGTTGTTTTGTACGGCCAGAGGTTGGCACAGGGACATGTCCTCAGTGAGGGAAGTCCCTAGGCTGGTCCAGCATCCCTAGGTCTATACTCTGGAACATGCCCCACCATTATAGTCTAGCTGCTTACAGAGCTGGTTTCTCCTCTTGGACAGGAAGAATTTCAGAAATTTGGCAAAAGGATGCCCCCACCAACAAAGAAAGTTTTGCCTTGGCTGAGAGATTTAGCTGTACTTGGCCAAAAGATAAAGGGGCAGCCAAGAGAGAAAGTCACTCCCGGAGCCCTAGGTACAAGGAAGTGGAGGAGAAACTGAAGAAGGTGAGTGCTAAGATTCTTAGGGAGGAAGAGCCCAGGAGCCATATTAACAAAAATATGCATAGCTGCACTATTTGTGGAGGCAAAGAAACTGAGGTGAGGATGCCCATCCACTGGGGAACAACTGAATAAGATGTGATATGTAAGTATGTGGAATCGTAATGCTATAAAAATGATGAAAGAGATGGTTTCAGAGAAACCTAGGAAGACTGGTATGAATGATGCAGAGTGAAGTGAACAGAACCAGAAGAACAATTATACATTGACAATGATATTGTAAAGACAAACAATTTTGAAGGACTTTGGAACTGATCAGTGTAATGATCAAACATAATTTCAGAGGACTAATGATGGAACATGCTACTCAGCTCTTGATAGAGAAGTGAATGCACAGAGAACAAAATGAAACACACACACAAACACAAACACACTGTTCTGTTTCTATATATGTATATATGTGTGCATATATATACATATAAAGATAGATAGATAGATAGATAGAAATACAAATGCATATTTTTCCTTTAGAGATGGCCCACACAGAAATTTGTTTTGCTTGTTACTAAAAAAAAAAAAGGGAAAAAAATCCTTTTGTGATATTGTGAACTATGTACCTTCAGAGGGGAAGTCAGTTTCAGTAAACTAGCAGGTATACATTTTCACAGGTCTCCTTGGTGGTAGCTATAATACAAAAGAATGGGAAAAAATCCCCAAAAACGTGTCCAATAATCTCAGTATGACAAACAGTTTTACAAACATAGTTGGTACGTAATATGTATTTGTTAAATTTGAATTTATATATGTATATTCATATATAAAATTTTAATTTATATTTTCATATGTTGAGTTATTTTTCATTTGTTCATTCACAGGTTTGTTTTTTCTTCCCTTTCTTCCTTTTAGATGGGATATACCTGATGCTATTTAGCAGTAATGCCATCATTTTTATCAAATACAAATATCAAACCACTTTGTAACTCTTTCTAGAATTTACTTCATCTTCAATGAGCTAATGGTGAGTGTTGTAAAAGGATATTTGAAGGTATTTTTATGGTCAAGGTAATGACTGGAAGGAACTCAGGACTTGGGGATGTGTGAGATTAGTTCCCTTGGACAATACCTTAGGAAATTAGTTGGCTGTCTTAGTTACCCACCTTTTCCTGGCAATGCATCTTTGATTACTTAATGAAAATCTATTGTTTTCCATAAAAGGAAACTTTTTGCTTTCCCAAGTTACCGTAAGTTTAGAAAATTCAAAATGAGTAAAGTAAGTAATGGCTTTCACAAGTTGGAGGCTTATAAAAATGCTGACATAAAATATGATAGCAGTGCACAGCATACCTTGAAAAACAGACAAATCTGTAGAACAGAGAAGGAAGACTTTGGGTTTTGTACAACAGTATAAACCTATAATCTTGCCTTTCTAATCAAGTATTTCCTGGTTGAGGGATACACAATTCTACAATTCATTTGCACCATTTACTAAAAGTGGAAAAAGGTCCTAATACCTTCTAAGAACATGGACATAGTAAACTCCTTGTTATCGTCATACTTTCTAGTCATGAGTAAGCCATCATGAGAAGCAGAGTTAAGTGATCCCTCACACTGGAGATCCAAAGTGAGAGAGTACCCGTATTAACAGGAGTTAAAGATATAGAAGAACATGAGTTCAAATCCTACCTCAGACATTTCCTAGCTGTGTGATCCTGGGCAAGTCACTTAAACTTTCTCAGTCTGTTTCCTCCTCTGTGAAAGGGAAAAATAATTGCACCTACCTCACTGTGCTGTTGTGAAGATCAAATGAGTTAGCATATGTAAAGCACTCTACAAACTTGAAAGTGCTATATAAACGCTAGCTCTCATTATTATTAGTGTGCCTGTGCATGAATTCCATGTTCACACAATGCTGAGGGCCAAACAATACTCAGGCATTGAAGCAAATTCTCTTTAAAGCTGCCCCTCCCAGAAGAAGGGTTCTGGGCTTCAGCACAGACTTCAGGTAGAAATGCTTTCCAAGCATACAGTTTATTTAGAAAGAGGATAAGGTTTTGGAGGAAGAGGCAAGACATGGGGTGACAAAAAATCTAGAAGGGCAGATATAGCTAGTGAAGATATAAAGATATATAAAGAAATGATAGATGAGTCCAGACTATGCTGAGAGTAAGGAAGTTGGCTCCTATGGAACCAATATGGAGAGTGGCATAGCTAAATAGGAAGGTGGAGGAATGTGGTCTGATTTCCATTGGCTGCCAAGAGAAATCAATTGTATTCTCAAGACTGATGCTTTACTGCTCCATTCTCTAGCCCTAAAAGCTTGCTGAGATGGGATGTGTCTGCCCCATTCCTGATTTGCAGGGGACACAAAAGGGTAAGTTTGGAGTCAGCTAAAACTCCCAGAAGATATTTGAGGGAGCAGCCATTGGAGAATGGGTATCAGAGGTGATAGTCTTTGACTATTTTTGATCTAATTCCCTTGCCTGTTTAAACATGTCTTTGCTTTGAGATCATGCATCATCTGGCTTGGTCTGGTATAATGACACCTTGGTGAGAACTCAGCTGTGAATCTGCTTACCCAAACAACCCCAGGAAGTTGAACATAACTGAGAGGAAGGCCACATGTACTAGGTAGATATTTCTGCATGATTTGCAGTAAATGCACAGTTCTAATGAATAGCATGATACTGAAGAGATTTAGATTAGATGCATGGAAACCATGAGAGCTGATACAGGAAAAGAGTTCACTGTTTCACACCTCAGTTCAGGCATAAGAGATTCACCTCCAGGAATCTGACTGAACAAATCCAGGTACTTCCAGGATGTTAATCATTACGATTCTTCGGGAAAGGAAGTTCCTTTGTGCTTCCTCCCCATCACTTCCCCTATCTTCCAGAAAGGCATACAAATAAGGAAATGACCCATTCCCTAAGTTAAGAACAATCTAGACCCAAAAGCTGCTCCAGACCTTGTGAAGAGTATACTCCCACGGAGAGTTCATTCTCTTCTTGTCTTTCGCTTTGCCCAACAGCAGCGGAATGCAGCAGTGAGATAGAGGTATTGACAGTGCTTGTCCCAGGACAATGGCCTTGAATGAGATCATACTTAGCCCCTGGTCCCTCTGCAAACACCCAGCAGGTGATGACTTCTGCAAACTCCTTCCTGTCTCCTCACACTAGTCAACTGGTCTACATGCAGATGAAATACAGCAAATTCTTCCTCTTCACGTTAGCCTTTTGGCAAGGGGAAGAAGGAAAGTAAGAATAAGGAAATTCGGTTTGGGCACCTAGGTAAACCAAGGAGAAATTCTTAGAACTCATTTGGGGCAAAATGTCTAGTAAGACCACTGCTAACATCAAAGAATTCACAAGAGTAGATTAACAAGAGAATGAACAAGAGTAAAGAATGATATTTTTATTTTCACTAACCAAAACTGAAATCAAGCATTTCCTTAATATAAAATTGTAATCCTCAAATAAGGGGAACAAAATTGAAATCGATTGAATCTATCAGCATGCATTCATTGAGCACCTACTGCATGCCAGGCATTGTGCTCAGCACCAGGAAGAGAAAGACAAAGATTGAAACAATCTCTACTCTTAACAGACTTGAAGATAAAATATAAACTCCTCTAATATTTTTTAAAAGGCCCCAATCTTTCTTTCCAGCCTTACTCCCGACATACCTCCCCTCCACATTCTGTGATCCAGACTAAGGGGTCATCTTTTGGTGCCTCACACTGAATATTCCATCTCCTGAGTCTGTGCTTTGGAAGGGACCATCCCTTGTGCCTTGAAGGCACTCCTTCCTTATCTCCAACTCACTGGGTCCCTCTCTTCCATCAAGACATACCTCAAGTACTACTTTCTACATCAAGGATTCTTAACCTCGGGACCATGGATAGAGTTCAGGAGGTCTGTGAATTTGGATGGGAAAAGAATGCTATCTTTATTTTCACTAACCTCAAAGTGAAATCGACCATTTCCTTAAATTATGAATGTGGGCCACAAATATGATTAGAAGGGGTCCATAGAACTCACCACTCTGCAAAGTAGTCAGAGGAGACTTCCAGGAAGAGGTGTCACTGAAACTGGACTGGGAAGAATTTGCAGGTCTGGAAGAGTCAGATCTGGTGATGTAGAAGAAGGGGAGGGGGAAAAAAATTCCAAGGAGAGGAAATAGCATGGTTGTAGTGAGTCAGGGAAATAACAGAGTCAAAGGACCTTTAGCTAAAACTTAAAAAGCCTTCAGCAAGGGTATGTCTTTCTACTGAAAGTCTGCTAGAGAGCAGGATTGCTGCCAGACAGCTAAGCCTTTGGAGAGCTTGGGAGGTCTCCTGAAGGCAGCAGTGAAGAGACCCAAATGATGAAATAGGCATCATCTTATCAAAGCTACAGGCCCCAAGAGCATGGCATGCTGACAAATGATATTTGAAGTGATAAGGAATGAACAACGCTAAGTAATGTGTGTTCATTTACATTGTACCAAGGCCCCCAAGATATTATCTCTAACTACTGTAGGCATATTTAGGACCAACCTACCAACATTTCCTCATTAGGAAAGTATGTACTCTGAGCTGAAGAGCCACAAATCAGTTATTGGTGACTGCAGTTTTCTAAGTTGTGTGGAACTGAAGGCTTTAAAGTGCCTGACAAAGACGGCTTGAAATCAGAGACAATCAATAATGTCATCATCAGGTCCAAAAATGTTAGAAACAGAATCATTTCATTTTGAAGACTGTTGGCAGAGAGCTCCTGCATTATGGAGGTAACTATTTCTCTAGCCAGTGGAGCCATCACCAGCAAGAGGCTAAAAGGGCTTCGTCCCAAGGTGCCAACATCAGGGGTGGGCTAGCGGAGATATTTCCTCCCTTGTAATGGGGACACGCTTTCTCCACCAGTTGGTTCCTGCTGGTCTCATGTCACCACTGTGACAATCACCATTATCCCTATATTTTACCTAAAAGTTCTCCTTTGGTCTACCTCACTATCCTGAGGCCAGCCCCCAGACTGTTGTTATGTTCTGTCTCTGCCAGAGCCCTCATTTTCCTCAAACCCTTACAGAGGTGAGAGTCAAACTACTCCCTCTCCCATGTTACTGTATCACCACCCACCCTGCCCCAGCTCAGCCCGTATAAAAACAGTCCTAACAACAGATATGTCAAGTACTGCCCGAGAATGAGAAATCTTCATAAAAGCTTATGCTGCTCAAAAAAACTATCACGGTCCCTTCTCTTATCTCCAAGCAGGTTTCTGTCCTCTGTGCCAGGCAGATGGGTGTCTCTCTGATTTTAAAAGAACTTTTCTTTACCTTTTCTACAGGTCTGACTCCAACATTCAATTGTCCTCCCTCTCCTTGCCTTTCTTGTTATCCTTCCTTTTTATCTTTCCAGTCAAGAAGCCTTTATTGAGCACTATATGTCAGGCATAGTTCTAAGATACAAAGAAAGGTAAGAAATAAACAAAAACCATGCACCAAATCTCTCTCTCTCTCTCTCTCTCTCTCTCTCTCTCTCTCTCTCTCTCTCTCTCTCACACACACACACACACACAGAGTCCCTGCTCTTAAAAAGAGAATTGTAATTGGGGGAGATAACATGAAAATCTCAAGGTAGAGACAAGATATTTATAGAGCATGAAATTTACCTGAAAAAGGTAAGGCATTTATAGCTGGAGGAATCAGGAAAAACCTCTTAAAGAAGGCAAGAAACTTAGGAAACTAGAAGGTGGAGGGGAGGTGGCAGAGTATGGCTGTCATGAGGCCAGGCTATGCTAAGGTGCAGAGTTTGGAGATGTGGACTTGTATCTCAGTACCTGCCAGGAGCTGGATCCTAGAGTGTCTGGAGAGGGCTAAAGTAAGTACCTAGAAGTCAGGAATTACCTGCATTCCTTGTATTTATACCCTCAGGGTTTAGCACAGTGTGTACAACATAGGAAGTATTTAATAAATCTGTCTCTGTCTCTTTCTCTCTGTCTCTCTATCTGTCCCTGTCTCCATTTTTCTGTCTGTGTCTGTCTCTCTCTCTCCCAATTTTCTCCAGTTCTTACCTGTTACCCACCTGCTCAAATGCCTTCAGTGTCTCCTTCTTACCTCCAGGATCAAATATCTAATCAAGAAAGGCAGAGAGGGTCCAAGGGCTTTAAAAGCAGAGGGTTTGATATTTGATGAGGTAATAGGAAGGCTTATTATACTTTAGAAAAATCCGGAACCTGGAGTGGATGAAACAGAAAGACAGAGACTGAGAGACAGAAACAAATGGAGAGAGAGAGAGAGAAAGAGGGAAGAGGGGAAGGGCAAAAAGAGAGGGGAAGAGGAGAAAGAGGGAGGGAGAGAGAGAAGGAAAGAGAAGAGAAAGAGGGAGGGGGAGAAAGAGAGGCAAAGACAAAGAGGAGAGGGCAGAGAGGGAGAAAAAGAGAGAGGAGAGAGAGAACATATTTATTAAAAAATTTTCTATGTTCTAGGCACTGTGCTATACTCTGAGGGTACAAATACAAGCAATGAAGATAATCCCTGCCCTCAAGGTGCTTACATTCAGACAACATACAGAGGAGAACAGGCAACAAGTGATGGAGTCTTGAACTAGGCGATGGCATAAGAGTATAGAGAGGGGAATGAATGCTTACATCCATTGAAGTTGATTAGGTAAAATCCACAAGACTTGACTGTATGTATGAGGTGAGCTACAGAAAGAGAGGGAGAGACTTCCTGGGCTGTAAGCCTGGTGACCTGAAGGACTGGGCATTGAGGAAGAAGGAAGGGTTTAATGGTTTTGGACATCATGAATTTGAAGTGCCTATAGGATTGACTTGTTTGTTATCCTCAAATAAGGGTGCTTTCATGTTCAAATCCATTTAATAAGCATTTACTAAGTACCTACTATGTGCCATGGAATGTACTAAGCATGGGGATGATACAAATAAGAAAAAGACTGTCCCTGCCCTCAAGGAGCTTACAATCCAATGAGAGAAGACCACACACAAAAGAAAGCTGAAAAGTTGTGGGGAGGGAGTTCAGTTTTTTCTTAGTTGTGGTCCATTTCTTCCTTTTAGTACAGATCTGTGGATTTCCAAGTTTTCCAATGGAAAGGTTAAAGCAGGCCCAGGGAAGCCAGCTGGCCTTTTGAGCAGGATGGTTTAGTTTCTTCAAAAACAGGCCAGAAGCTCTGCATAGCGGTGTTTTGTAGCCTCTCCGGTTTGGGGTACACGGTGGAGGGAGGCTGGTATAATTGATTGCAAAGTCGCATGGGATGAAAACTGCTTTACTGGTAGGAAAAGTCTCACAAGTTTAAATGTTGATGTCTTAAAACATCAGTGTTTATGGTTTCTCCTTTATTTGCTTTGGACTTAAGGCCTAAAGCATCCCTCCCTCCCTCCAGGCACTGCAGTTCTCTTGTTTGGGAGTTTAATTAAAATATATGCCTGGCGATCTCCAAAAGGGGAAGGAGGAAGCAGTGGAGTATGTCTGGTTTAGTGAGCAGGGGGGATTTATTAACTGTACAGAGCTTATGTATCCATGGAATTTTTCTTGGGTGTCTAACTCCAGAGTGGATTTATAGGGGACTCAGAGAAAAAGCCTGGAGTTCAACCCATTCCCCTGGCCATGAGCTACACAATATCTTAATTGGTAAATCAAGGACAGACTTAAATAATGGCTCCCAAAGAAGCAAAGGGCTTCCTTCCAGCCAAATTTCACATCCCAAGCACCCTAAGTCGTTGAAGATTGCGATAGAAGCTGCACCATGGAAGGAGGGACTCAGAGACTAAAGTATGAGTGGAAGAAGTCTCCACACTAATTCTTATGCCTTCTGGTCCATAAGCAGCAGCACCTGAAAAGAGGCAGATGTATGCCACTGAACCAGAATCTGCTTCCTAAGTGATCGGTGCTGACAATCATTTATTTACCTACTTGAGGAAATTTCTTCTGGGAAGGGAACCCCCTCCAAGGAAAGATTAAATAAGACTTGAATGGGGCAATGGTAGGTGGGTAGGATTTGGCAAGGCATCTCTCACAAGATAAAATCCAAAGTCTTTAGCATGGTATTCAAGGTACTTATCATTCCCAACTTCTCTACATCAATCAATAAACATTAATTAAGTGCCTACAGTATGCTGAGAGACAGTATGGACTAATTAAACAGTTGGCCTTGGAATCAATTAGATCTGGGTTCAAGTCACTGGGAATATCTCTTAACAGACTGGTGAAACCTATAGACCCCTTCTAAGAATCGTTTTTTAAATGTGTAAAATAAAATACGTAAGATTATAAAGGAAATGAAGTTAACAAATATTTAAAAACAAAAACAAAAATAAAAAAGCAAGTTCATGGCCCCCAGGTTAAAAGAAGAAGAAGACAAAATAAAAAAATAACTCCTGCTGCATACAGAATAAACATCAAAAAGAAATTGGGAGGTGGGTAGGAGGGTCAGGAAAGAAGACTTCATGTAGAAGATGGCACTGGAATTTAACCAGGAATGTGAAGAGGCACAGCTAACAGTCCTGAGTGGAGGAAGCATGAGAATCCAAAGCAAAAAGTAGAAGCTGGAACGAGACAGGGAGAATGGTGGAACCTTAGGGCCCCCCAGGGAACACCAATGGCTCTGCTTGCCAGGAGCCTGGCCAGATCTGGTTTTCTCCAGTGCTTCTCAGCTTGGCTGTAGACTCTTAACCTGGGCTTCCCTGGGGCCTGAAAGCATCCCTAAAACTCATGGGCATAACCAGGACCTAAATCCCAAGCCTAGGGATCCCACGTGAAGACAACAAATTTGGGCTTCAAGAATCCTTCTCTCTTCAAGCCAGCAACAGGAGTAAATGTGAACTTATCTTGAGGTCATCTTGGCCTGACTCACCTCTTGGAAAACAAAGTTACCATCCATGTCAGTAATTATGAAATTTTAATCACTTGTACTTTTTATCAGAGTTAAATTGAGCAATCAGTTTTAGAGTCCACGAATAAAGGAAGCCATTTCCAGGGGAAAAAAAAAAAGATTCCATTTCCCATCAGTGCTAATATTCAGAGACCAAGAATAACAAATGTAGAAACTTATAATCAGAAAGGCCAGCACAAAAGGTCAAGTAGGTCATAAATGACTCACCTTTCACTCAACCTCTTGGATGCTATGCCCATTGGTGATACTGGACCTCTTTTCAGCTAGGCTTATTCATGTTTCACCCATAGACTCTTAAGGTGAGGGGGATTTCCTAGGATTGGAAAAGACAAGAAAGAATGCAAATTTGTGATGAAGCCAACTTCTCTGGCCCCTAGTGGAAATGAGCCAATTCTGATGGGGTGTAACTGCTGTTGATACATATTATAGGATACAGGGTCTTACGATTCTCAATTAAGAGATAGAAGAAAGCTTAACAGCCATCTATTCCAAACCCCTCATTTAAAAGGAGGAAAGTGAAGCACGGGAAAGTGATTTGTCCAAGGTCATATAGGGTCAGGGAAAGGATCCAAACCTGGGTCTTCCTAACTCAATGGTCCACTATACCATGATGCCTTACCAAACTATGTGGTAGATACGATGTTTCAATCAATCAATTAACAACCATTTATTAAATGTTTACTATGTGCTAGGCACTGTGATAAGCTCTAGAGACACAAAGATAAAAGTGAAATATCCCTGCCCTCAGGGAGCTTACATTCTAGAGGAAGGGACCACAAAAAATGTATAAAATATATACCAATGTTTGCAAAATAAATACAAGGGAGTTAGTGAGGGAAAATGCTAGGAGAGAGAGGGGACAAGGGATGAAGAGGAACTACTTGAGTTTACTCTTGTAGGAAGATAGAGATTCCAAAAAGTGTAGGTGAGGAAGGAGTACCTTCCATTCCTGGGGGCAGCTGAGACAGAGGCATGGTGGCAGGAGATAAATTGTTATATGTGCAAAACAGCTAGTCTGGCTGAATCACAGAGCACAGAGAGGAGTGATGTGTAGAGGAGTTAGGTAGCATAGTGGATAGAACACAGGGCCTGGAGTCAGGAAGACCTGAGTTCAAATCCAGTCTCAGACATTTCCTAGCTGTGTGACCCTGGGCAAGTCACCTAACCCTGTCTACCTCAGCTTCCTCATCTGTAAAATGAGCTGGAGAAGTAGATGGCAAACCTTTCCAGTATCTTTGCCAAGAAAACCCCAAATGGGGTCATGAAAAGTCAGTCACAACTGAAAGGACTGAAAAACAATAACAAAATGTGTAGAGAAGACTGGAAAAGTAGGAAGAGATTTAATGTCAAGAAAAAATGGGGACTACTGAGATTTAATGAAGGAATAAGAGAATGAATGAATGAAATGTATTTTAAGTGCTTACTACATGCCAAGCATAGTGTTAAACATTGGGTAAACAAATATAAAAAGTGAGACAGTCCCTGCCCTGAAGGAGCTTATATTCTTGGAGAACAGATTGGAGGGGGTCACTTCCAGATCTCTGTCACAAGTGGTCATTTTAAATCAACTGCATTGTACTTATGCCTATTGTACTAGGCAAAGTCCTGGAATAGAGAGAACTCTACTTTCATGTCTTTTGTTTCTACTCAGTCCCTTCTAGGCTCAATACAAATAGAACCAAGAATGAATGAATGAATGAATGAATGAATGAATGAATGAATGAATGAATGAATGAATGAATGAAACAAGGCATGTCTTATCATTTGCCTCAGCTGCTCAAATATAATAACATAATTTTTGTACAGTCTTGTGATTTCATTAACATGCATATTTCCCATCAAGGAAACTTCCATTATCAACACAGGTCAATACCTACTTTGTAATTTATAGACTGGGGTGCAAGAAGGGTAATTGACTGGCCTATGTTTATGTAGCTAGTATGTTCCAGAGTTAGGATTTGAACCCAGTGGTTCCTGACTCCAGGACCATCTTCCTATCCATGAATCACACTGCCTCTGTTCCTAAAGTACTTTCCTCACAAAAATTGTCAAAATCAAGGAGAGCAATATGACTATCCCCAATTTACAGCTGAGGAAAGTGATCATCAAAGAAGGGGTATCACTGATTTGTCCATGATCATACAGCTAGTTTCTCTAGAGGGATAAGTAAATATAAGATAATTTAAGGAGGTAATAAGCACTTAGAATTAGGAGGGGATATATCATGGAGGGCTTCTAGGAGGAGACAGAAAGTAGCAGTCTATATGAATGCAGGGAGGTAAGTCCACATTAAGGAATAGTCAGTCATCTCCTCTGTCATAGAGAGAAGGAATGTGAAGCCAGGTTGGGGAGACTGACTGTAGAGGCCGATAAATGTCACACTGTGAAATTTGTATTTCATCCGAGGCCACTGAAGGGGCAGCATAGAATAGCAGGTAGAATGCTGAATTGGATATTAGGAAGTTGAGCTTTCCATGATAGCCTTCATTCTTAGTTCTAGCTGGTCATACCTCCTAAAATTACCTTATATTTTTCTATCTGTGCCCATGTTATGTTTCTCCTCTAAACTCTTGGAGGACAGAGACCATTTCATTTTTGTCTGTATTCCCAGGCTGTACTTATGCCTTGTACATGTTAGGCTTGGTAAACATTTGAGAATTAACTGAACCCAGTCCAATCTTTTCAGTTTATAGATGAGTAAACTAATGCTAAATGCTATGCAGCTGTTAACAAATAGCAAAAAAGCACTGGCTTTGGAGTCAAACAACCTGGGTTCAAGTCCACATTGGGGTCTTTTTTTTCTCTGGGTGACCCTGGCCAAGTAATATAACCTCTCCAGGACTCACTTTCCTCATCTATAAAATGAAGATATTGGGTTCAGTGATTTCTCTAATGTGCCTTTCAGTTCAAACCTATGATTCCATGCCAGAGTTTCACCTCTAATTTCCTTCTTGGCTTCTTCTCTGATGAAAAAGGTTGAAAACCAAAAAAAGAAAGTGGAGAAGAGAAGAATCAGGGCAATCATTAAAAAAAAAAAGAATTGTCAACACAGGGTTAACAAGGTTTAGAAGTTTGGCTGATCTGTTTCATGTTATCATTTCTTAAACTCAATGGCTCAAAGGGGCAGGTTCTCTAAGCATGGGAAATCCTGAAAGAGGAAATGGGGGTGGATCAAAATTTTGATTTCCTTAAGATGATTAGAGCCAATTAGTTAGCTTAAATCTTGGATTCATTTAGCAACTTTACCTTGAACCCTGGAAGGGCCCCCTTCCTTTCTTTGTTCCTTTCCCTTAGCCACTTTTCATTTTAATTGCCACTCCCCCTAACTACTTGTACAAAAGACTAAAAAACTTGGAAGTTCGGCAGGTTCCTGGTGGAAGGGCCCTGCTCAAACCCACCCACTGACCACTATCCCACCCAGCTCTACCCGTTAGCCCATTCTTCCAAGTGTTTGAGAATTTTCCTTTCCCTCTGTGTCATATGAGCTTTTCTGCTATACTCTCCCAGAATAAGAATCAAGTTCTCAGGCATAGAGAAGAGAGTCTTCAAGAGAACCTGAGAAGACAATTCTCTTGAATTGTCTCAAGGCAAAGGAAGTTTGTTTTACTTTCCAAGACAGGTTCTTATCCCAGGTGAAAAATCTGGGAATGGGTGTGTTAATGAGACACTTAACCAACTTTGCAAAACAGGGCTTCAGGTGGGAGTGGATCCAAGATGGCGGAATGACTCATCCAAACTTTCCCAACATTCCCCTCTAACCAATTTTAAAACCTGGGAAGATCTGTATGAATTGATGCAGAGTGAGGTGAGCACAACCAGATAATTGTACACAGTAACAGCAATATTGTAATGATGATCAACTTGTGAAGGTCTTAGCTACTCTGACCATTACAATGATTTAATACAATTCCAAAGGAATCATGAAAAATGTTCTCTGCCTCCAGGGAGAAAACTGATGAACTCTTAGATCAACTTGAAGTATATAACTTTTTCACTTTCTTTTTCTTGAATTTTTCTTTTGCAACATGACTAATATGGAAATACATTTTACATCATTTCACACATATAGGTGATATTATATTGCTTGCCTTCTCAATGGGTGGGGGAGGGAATGGGAGGACAGAGCAAATTTGGAACTCAAATTTTATAAAAAGAATGTTAAAATATATGAGTGTGTGCATATATATATGTATGTATGTGTTTCATATATATATATATATGTATATATACATATATATGTATATATATATATACATATATATACATATATATATGTATATATATACATATATATGTATATATATATACATATATATATATATATATATATATATGTATATATATATATACATATATATGTATATATATATATATATATATATATATCATATTACCCACACACAAACACATATATTTTAAAGCAAGGGTTCAGATGAGATTAGACTCTCACTGCCAGAATGTTGGTTGGTGGCAACTTGTGGAAGAATCACAGACTCTCAGAATTGGATGTTACCTCAATGGTCATCTATTCCCCAAAGCATCCTCACTCTAATACACTGAAAAATGCTCATTTGGACTTTATTTGTAGACTTTCAGGGGAGAGGAATCCACTCATCACCAAGGCAGCCCACTGTACTCTGAGACTTCCAATTGTCAGGAAGTTTTCCCAAATATCAAGCCTAAATTTCCTCTTTGCAGCTTCCATCCACTCTTCCAAGTTATGCCTTCTGAAGTCAAGTAAATGTAATTAATTCCTCTTCCTCATTTAAGTTTTCAAGTACTTAAAGACCACTTTTATATCCTCTCCCTCTTTTCTGAGCCTTCTCTTCTCTTTTCTGGGGTAACACCTCCAGTTCTTTTTTTTTTAATTTATGGAATAAAACAAGTATTTCCATAACCTAGCATAATAAAAGTATGTAAAAATAATAAAAATTATCAGTTCTTTCAATTGATCCTTTAATGGCAAGGGCTTCAGACCCTTTGCAATTCTGGTTACCCCATTCGAGACACTCTCCTAATTTATCCATGTTGTTTCTAAAATGTAGTGCCTAGAATAGAACAGAATATTCTGGACATGTTCTGAAAAGGGCAAGAATTATCACCTTATTGTGCCTGGAAACTGTGTCTCACTGTGCTTCCTTTACTGCAGTCCAAGATTATATTAGGTTGTTTTGGCAACTGTGCCAATCCCACTTTTGGAATAAAGGGCAATATTCTAACCTCTTTTTCTTTCTAAAGAAAACTCATTGAAATAGGATCCCAGGAGCCTTATGCCTCTTTAATTTAACCACAGAAGAATCACATGTTTGGGTG